AAAAATTGACAGATGCCCTATATTTATATCAAAAAAAAAAAAAAAAAAGCCTCAAACCAAGATACTGGTGACAAATGCTCTTTCCCAAAGATCAAATTAAACTGATGGGAACAGTATGTTCTAGAGAATAAATTTATTTTCATCCACTTAATCACAGGCTAATTCTCTAAATCCCACTTCCAAGCCTACTCTAAGAGGAAGTTTTGTCAGAAATTACAAGGTCATTATGAATTTCAGAAATGTATGGGTTTTTTTTAAGAACTACTGCTCTTTAACATAGACATAATTGACACCAGGGTTATCAAAGAAGATAACTATTTTCTTGGGGGAAAAGGTAATTATCTTATCAGTCATAAAACAGCTACCACTAAAATCCTGATTTTTAAAAATGGCATAATCATGATTTTAAAAACAGTAAAATATTTAAAGCATTTCTTTAAAAATGTTTTCTTTCCCAAATTAAAATGTGGCTGAACAAAATATTCACAATTAGAAGTTGGTGGAGAGAGCACAAGTAACTAAAAGTTTCTAAAAACTATCAGGCCTTAGAGTAGAATCTATCCTTTAATATGACTTCAGGCCGGACACAATGGCTCATGCTTATAATCTCAGCACTCTGGAAGGCTGAAGCAAGTGTATCACTTGAGGTCAGGAGTTCAAGACCAGCCTGGCCAACATGGTAAAACCCTGTCTCTACTAAAAACGCAAAAATTAGCTGGGTGTGGTGGCACAAACCTGTAATCCTAGCTACTCAGGAGGCTGAGGCAGGAGAATCACTTGAACCTAGGAAATGGGGGCTGCAGTGAACAGAGATGGCACCACTGCACTCTAGCTTGGATAACAGAGAGACTCCATCTCCAAAAAATATATATATATAGATGAGACTTCAAATGCAGTTAGGATGAAAAGTATGTAGAAAATTTCAGTTTGGAGGCATAGTTCTACATTCATTTGTGCCATATGCACAAACCAGAGAAAATCAAAATTAAAGATGCAAATGAACAAGCAAGATTATGTCTACTGATTAATTTAAATAATTTTAAGAATTAACTTTGCCTCTTGGAGAATACTTTATATAATTCCAGGGTTATCCGGCATCCATCTAAATTACACTATTTTGAAGAGTATGGTCATTTTCAGAAAACAAATATCCCTACATCTAAAACTTATATTCTACGTCATCTAAAGTTTAGTAATTCTAATTAACTGGGGCACATAGGAAAAAACAAAATTATTCCAGCAAGGTTATAGGTCTTGTAAAAAGTAAATAGGACCATGACATACACACGGACCAAAATAAATTAAAATGAGGTACCTCAAATTTAAGTCCTGACTTTTCACTGATGTAAAATTAAGAACAGAAACCAGGAAGGAGTAGTCAAGCATATCTCTTATCCTTTTTCACACAAAGGTTGACATCCTCTACACCTGCAAATCTTCACCTCGCACGTCAAAATGCTAAACTGTTCCTTAGACTTAAGAGTCAAAAGCAACTGAATAAAAATCCTTGAAAGATTAAGCTCAATGAAAACTGCAAAGAGAGAATTGGCTATTCAGAAATAAAATATGATACTATCCAAAAATCTTGGGTCACAGACTCCCCAGGTAATACCTCCAGTACATTCTAACCCGCATCCACTGTGTGACCTAGAGCAAGTTACCTGGCCATTCTGGGCCTCATTTTCCTCTATGTAAAACAGATATAAACCAAGCTCACTCTGCGAGATGTTCTGAAGATGGCATGGCCATTAAAAAGCACATTACAGGCTGGGGGCGGTGGCTCACGCCTGTAATACCTCACTTTGGGAGGCCGAGGCCGGCGGACCACCTGAAGTCAAGAGATTGAGACCAGCCAGGCCAAGATGGTGAAACCCGGTCTCTAGTAAAAATACAAAAATTAGCCGGGCATGGTGGTGTGCGCCTGTAATCCAAGCTACTCGAGAGGCTGAGGCAGGAGAATCGCTGGACTGTGGGAGGCGGAGGATGCAGTGAGCCGAGATCGCGCAACTGCACTCCTGCCTGGGAGACACTGTGACATTCCGTCTCCACAATAACAATATAAAAGCACATTACGCGCCACCAAGCGTGAAATGTTCACTAAATGTTAGCAATTGTTCTTCCCTTCCCTGATGATCTACGTACTTCAGACCCTGGATCCCAACGGTGCCTGAGACGCGAAGCAATTCGAGGTTCAGGTTCAGGGAGGCTGTGCTTGGAAGCTGCGTCGAGGGAGGGCTTGAGGACAAAACCAACCAAGTCCCCTGTCATCGAACTCCGTAAGCCTCGCACCCAGGACCAAAGACAAGGAGGAACCTGGAGCTAGGTTTTCCCTCAAGAAGACGGCAAAGATCGACTTGAAGGCTTAAGCAGCATTAGGGAAGGCACCGGGGAGAAATTACCTCCTGAGAACTCTCAGCAAGGAAGGACCCCTCTCTAGACCACTTAACCTGTCTACAGAAAGAACGGCAGCCTGCGGGAGCCGGGGACCCTGCTCCTCTCTCTCTTACCCGGCTCTCCATACGGAATGGTCTCGGCCCAGACGCTCGGCTCCTCTTCCTGGATGTCCAGGACCCTGTCGATGGACTTCTGGGCCTGGGACAAGGCCTGCTTAGCGAAACTGGAGATCTGGGAGGCGTTGAACCAACTCATCGCCCCTCCTCAGCCGGCAGTGGCGGCGGCAGCACCAAGCGGGAAGGCCTCAGGCCTGGGGAAGGGAGCAGAGGAAAGGCTTCGCTCCCCTTTTCCACTCGGCTGGTTCGGTCAGCGTGTGGCCATGACCCCGACAGCCTCCCCCGAGCCCGGGATGTTACCTTCGGCGGTTCCCGCACAGCTGAGCCGAATGGGGTCGTGTGCGCATGCGCCTGCTTCTTCCACGTACACAGCAACCAAATCTGAGAGCCTAGAGTTCCGCCGATAGACGGAAAAAAAAGAGACAAAAACGTTGACGTCACATCCGGGAGCGCCGGGTTGCCCTTAGTTACCGACGAACGCGGAAGGGCTTCCGTTAATATTGATTCCGTACTTAAAGCAAAGAAGCTATGGTTACCAATAGAAGTCGATTCTCCCATAAGGAATATTTCAGTTTTCCTGTGTGTGCTTTCCAGAAAAATGGTTCCCGTACTAAAAGCTTGCACCTTGCCAGCAGTAATTGCAAAGGGAAATTTGGGCCTCACATTTCTCTTAGCCCTTTGTCTCAAATATGTAAATAGCTCTGCATTAACTTAGTATTATAAGGAGAAACCCTTGTTTGGGCTTGCCTAAAAGAGAGGATCAGGTATGAACACTGTGCCCACCCGTGGAACACATGGTGCAGAAATCACCACCTCTCTCTTAAAATAGTAGCAAACTCAGTCAAAATATACTATGGTCTGTCGGTGTGCAGATTCCTATGTTGAAACCTGATCTCCAGTGGGAGAGTATTAAGGGGGGCCTTTAGGAGACGTTAGATGATGAGGATGGAGCCCTCATGAATGGGAGCCCACTTTTGTAAGTGCCCTTATAAAAGAGGCCCAAGGGAGTTCACAAGAAGGCACCAATTGTAAGCTAGAAGAGCAGGCCTCACCAGACACCAAACCTGCCAGCTCCTTATATGTTGGACTTCTCAGCCTCTAAAACTGCAAGAAATAAATTTCTACTGCTTATAAGCCACTCAGTTTATGGCAATTCGTTACAGCAGTCCAAATGGACTAAAACAGGTAAGAAGCACTAAGGCTATTATCCTAACAATGTGCATTGGGCATATTACTTAAAATATAACCTTTTCTGAGCCGGGCGTGGTGGCTCACGTCTGTAATCCCAGCACTTTGGGAGGCCGAGGCGGGTGGATCACCTGAGGTCAGGAGTTCGAGACCAGCCTGACCAACATGAAGAAACCCCATCACTTTAAAAAAAAAAAAAAAAAAGAAAAGAAAAGAAAACATAACCTTTTCTGTGTGGATTCCCTTCAAACATTTGGCCATAAAAACATACCTTAAATTGGTGACCTTCCTAGTCCAGTCTGCAGCTATATTGTTTGGCCCCAATAATGTTAAAGATAAAATCCTATCAACATTTAAAAGCCGGATTTCATTCAAAAATCTGGATTTCCAGCTGCTTTTGAAAAATATGAATACCAGACATGGAAATAGTCAGCTAGAGTGGTCACCAAATAATTTTCACTCACTCCAGTTTGCCACAGACTCTACTACTCATCTTATTATACCCTCCTGATTATTTATAGTACATGCCTGCTCCCATATTTGAGTATTTTACCCCACTGCAAGGAACCCTGCAAAAAAGGAATTACTTTTCTTTCCAAAAGGCAGATTGAACCCCTTAAGAAGTTATAACATCTTACAATAATTTTATCTAATTACAATAAAAATTTGCACGTTAAAACTAACAATTTAGTCATTTACACAAGTAGTACTAAGTAACTCAAGTACTTTCAAACAGCTTAGCTAAGTAGTAAACAGAGGAAATTTGGGGCAGATTCAGGTTGAAATTAACTGTACAATTAGAGTTCCAAGACTTCTAATTATACAGCTTTGGCTAAATGACCTAAACCATCTAAAACTATTAGTCAGCTCTCAGATGGAGACAGTCACCTTCTCACAATGCTACTTTGAGAATTTTAGCTCCCTCACTTTCAAAATTGTAGGCTACATCTGTAACTTTTCAGGTAGAACATATAAATTTATTCCATATGGTTTTATAATGAAACTTATTCAATATGTAGCTAGAAAGATTAATGAAAACCTAATTCAATGACACATAAGTAATCAAAAAACATTTGAACAGAAAACTGCCATCAAAGTCAAAAAGAATGAGAACATATATATGTTCTCACATTAAAATAATAGCACCAGGCCAGGCACAGTGGCTCAACACCTGTAATCCTAGCACTTTGGGAAGCCAAGGTGTGTGGATCACCTGATGTCAGGAGTTCAAGACCAGCCTGGCCAACATCATGGAACCCCGTCTCTACTAAAAATACAAAGAACTAGCCAGGCGTAGTAGCGCGTGCCTGTAATCCCAGTTACTCGGGAGGCTGAGACAGAACTGCTTCAATCCAGGAGGTTTAAGTTACAGTGAGCCAAGATCACACCATTGCACTCCAGCCTGGGGCGGCAAGAGTAAAAACTTTCTCAAAATACAACAACAACAAAAAAAACTAGCACCTACTTTTTTAGTATTTGTGCTTAATTTTGTTTCAAGTCTTATTCACTTAAAAGAAACAAAAACCGGGCAACATGTTGGCTACGTTTTTGGCAGGCTTCCCAGGGACAAAAATGGCTATGGCTAACAATTTCTACCTGTGCTACTATGTCAGGCACAAGGACAAGCTGCAGTACTAGTTTCTGGAGTTTGAATTTCAGCCAGACGGAAAGCTTAGATATACCAACAACAGCAATTACAAAAAAGATGTCATGATCAGGAAAGAGGTTATGTGCACAAGAGTGTTATGGAAGAACTGAATTACTGATGACAGTGAAATTACAAAAGAAGCTGATACTTTAGGGCCTCCCCCTGACAAGGCTGGGCTACAGGAACTTAAAACTGTAATTGGAGATGAGCATAATATTTTACCACATCAAAAATGGGTTCTCTTATTGACGTAAATCAGTCAAAGGATCCTGAAGGCCTTCGAGTATTTTACTGTTTGGTCCAAGACTTGAAATAAACATTTCAAGTTTATTTATAGGTTGGACAGTTTTCAGTCTCATTGGATTATACTTCAAGATTAAACCAATTTAAATTGTATGGTTTTCAAGCTGTTCGTATATTTAATTTAGAGATAGAAGGGTTTATTTGTCATTTACAGTATCAGGGATTCTATGAATGTGAAGCAAACAAAAAAAAAATTTGAATGCAGGCCAGGCGCAGTGGTTCACATCTGTAATCCCAGTACTTTGGGAGGCCAAGGTGGGAGGATCACAAGATCAGGAGTTCGAGACCAGTCTGACCAACATGGTGAAACACCATCTCTACTAAAAATACAAAAATTAGCCAGGCATAGTGGCACATACCTGTAATCTCAGCTACTCAGGAGGCTAAGGCAGGAGAATCACTAGAACCAGGGGAGGTGGAGATTGCAGTGGGCTGAGATCATACCACTGCACTACAGCCTGGGCAACAGAGCAAGACTGTCAAAAAAAAAAAAAAAAAAAAAAAAACAAAATTGTATATAAACTGAAAATAAGAAAATACATTAGCAGTCTTAATAGTTATCCTAACTTGAGTCCACATAGGTTGGACAGTCCCCACACACATTGAATTCTGTAAATAAAAGCTATCTTTTGTTAAAAATTTGCTCTAATAAAACTTACCAAATCTTGGGGAAAAAAAAAATAAAAAACAAAACCATGGCCTGGCATGGTGGCTCACACCTGTAATCCCAGCACTTTGGGAGGATAAGGCAGATGGATCACCTGAGTTCATAAGTTCAAGACCAACCTGGCCAATCTGGTGAAACGCCATCTCTACTAAAAATGCAAAAATTAGACCAGGCACAGTGGCGGGCACCTGTAATCCCATTTATTTGGGAGGCTGAGACAGGAGAATCACTTGAACCCGGGAGGCAGAGGTTGCAGTAAGCTGAAATCGTACCATTGCACTCCAGCCTGGGCAACAAGAGCAAAACTCCATCTCAAAAAAAAAAAAAAAAAAAGAAACAAAAACATTATATTATTGATACAGCAAGTTAAATTAAACCAGTAAATTTTTACTATAGAAATCATTGTAGCAAAAGTGTTATTTCAAGTGCAATGAAAATTTGATGTAATTCTGCTAAACATTTAAAAATATTTCATTACTACCATGGAACTACTTATTACCCTTAATATGCTTTTAAAAATTTCAGTGAAAGAAGTACACAATATATGATTTTATTAATAAATAGTGCAAAAGCATCAGTGATAACTGTTTGAACATGAAATTTTTTAAACAGCCATGTCTTGGTGTTAATTTTGTGCATATTGGCCTCTATGGCACTACAAGTAAACAGATGACAATATTGCCCATTTTCATGCACAAGTATTCAGCTATAATACCGTTTACAAATTATTACGGACAAGAATAATTCTGCAATAATTAATATTCATTTGGATGGCCACAATTAAATGAATATTAAATAAAGGAATAGCCTATGTTCAATATACTCCAGATGACAGACTGTAGTATTTAATATTATTTAAAACTTAATTCTTTATTTTATTTAAAGGGACATCTTTTGTGTATCTAGGTGCTCAAATGAAAACTAGGAATGCATTCTTCAACCATAATAACAAAATTCACATAGAAGAGGGTGTGTGCCTCCATCTCAAAAAGAAGCAATACATTTCCTCATAATCTCTCTCCCCAGGTATCATTTCCCATATTATTAATGAAAATGCTTACAAGCACCAACACCAAAATCCCGTCTTCAAGGGAAAGTTACAAAGTTAAAAAAGAGTGGTTCATTATATAAAAAAAGTCAAATTGAAGCAACACTATTGCTAAAAATGACATCAATTAAACTTCTTAGCATCCACAAAGTATATTATTTCCATGAGTTTTCTATTATGTGCAGATTTTCCTTAAGAAGTAAAATGAAGTTTGAATAGTACAGTCTGCGGTGTGGTGACATCAGCAACCGCCAGTTCTTGTCCATCAACGAGCCCCAATTCTAAAACAGAAAAAATATAATTAATACAAGCAAAAAAACTCAACAGAAAGGACAGTACACACGTACACAAACTATAGAGTATTATGATCTAGATAAACATCAAAATCAAATCCTCTTTAATCAAAGTAACATTCGATTTCTTAGTGATTTTAAAATATTCTACTAAAACAGCAATTTTTTAATTCTATTAATATTTCTAAAGTTGTAAGTAATTATTACCTAACCATATACAAAGGCATTAAGAGGAAATCTAGAACAAGCACTGATTACTTTCACCAAAAAAAGAGAAAAGGAAAAAAAACAATTAGTAAATACCCTT